AGAACTCCTGGCCTCAAGCAATCCTCCTTCCTCAGCTTCCCAAAATGCTGGGATTACAGGTGTGAACCACTGTGCCCAACCAGGTTCTGAATTTAAAATGAAAGGATACTTTTTTCCTCTTACCATTGTGTCTGTATAACTCTGCTATTTTACCTAATTTTTCCTTTGTTGCTGCTATCAGTAAAAATAGAATTAAAGACAGCAAAGTGGGGAAAGCAGTATTTTCACAGTGATATGTGCCCCTCGTGGGACCAAGGGGGAGGCTCGGGATTTCTTTGTCAAATGTTCTTCAGTGTGTTTACTCCATGCTGGCTGCTGCGGTGGGGTGCTGGCACCTCTGTACTCAGAGAAGTGCACTCGTCCATACATCTCACATTCTGAACATTGAAATTTCAATTTAGTGTTTCATAGGGGGTCCTTGAACAACTTTTCCCCATGGTTCTAACAACTGTCATGTGAATATATTACCTTAAAAATTGTTGAAAAGATGATAAATTAGGAGAGTTTTTTCTAGGGTTGAACCACTTTTTTGGCTGTCTCTAGCCACGATCCGGCCTAGGTCCTGATCGTGAAAGAAAGGGCGTATTGAATCTATGCCTGAAATGACTCTAGCTCTAATGTGTCAAGCCGCAGAGTAGAGAAGAATCTATCAAGTAGTCTTGTACTTGGGTTTGAATAGTAAAAACAAATCAACTGAGGAATCCAAAGTGGGAGTCGGAGATAAAGAAGTGTCAGGGCCAGCTACATAATTTGTGGGGCCCAGTGTAAAATAAAAACACAGGGCCCCTAGTTCAAAAAGCAGGAAAAAGTACCATAAAAAGCACTAAAATATAGAGCTGTTTTCTTTACTCTGTATTCCCTCTCTAAACTTACCATGGTGTTTATTTGTGATTTAGTGTTGTTCTAAGTAAAGTTAAATTTTAATTTATTAACGTGAATTTTGTCATTAATCTTTATGGAATGCAATGTAAGTTTTAAATGCAAATGTAAAAGTATTTAACTCATATGCAGAATCACCAAAATTACACAATTTGTATTTCATATCCCTGATATGTCTGTGTATTTCATTCTTACCACAACAGTGGGAGTGCCTCACAAAACTAATACGTACACCACTAACACTGGTTTTTATTTCAGTTGTTGATATACATACATTCTTACCAACACTTTCTACCTTCAGTTTACCAATGGATGAGGAAGCACTAGAAAGAAAAGAACCTATGGATTCCCTCTATCTTTCCCTTTTCTTCTAGGTCAGCATTTTTAGCATAAGCACTTGGTCAACACAGGGAGGACACACAAGTAAGAAAACACATGGAAGAGTTCTTTGGCAATTGTTTTTTTAGAGCATCCTTGCCTTCTTTTTGCATTCAAGACATGTTCTGGCTCTAAGGAAAATTATGCCCTCCTGGGGCTATTGGGTATAGACATTACATGCTTACCTTGTACTCAAGAGTCTCACTGAACTCTCATCCACTGTAAATCCACAGAAATTCCTGTTCATGGGTGGCAAGGAGCAGGGTACCTGCATATTGAGCATATCTCTCCTCTGATGTGCAATTGTCTCATAAGACTTCATTTATAAAACATAAGTTCAAAAATAAAGATGGAGACACAGAGCATTATACTGAGTGTGGACAGCTGTGCACCTGCACAGATGACGCTTGCCCAGGAAGCCAGCCCTGTGGAAAACACATTCTGCCTTCTCTTTCCTATTGCTGCCCCAGTCATACTCATTGGTGGGCACCGGCTAAGCCATCTCCACAGAATTGGCAGAAAAACCTTGCTTTGTCTTTTCTTCCCCATTCCCATGGCTCTTCCCCACTTCCATCTGGCTTTTTTTTTTTTTTTGACAGGGTTTCACTTTGTCTCCCAGGCTAGAGTGCAGTGGCACAATCATAGCTCACTGCAACCTCGAACTCTTGGAGCTCATGAGTTCAAGCCATTCTCTTGCCTCAGATTCCTGAGTAACTGAGACTACTGGCACATACCACCACGCCTGGCTAATATTTTTATGTTTTGTAGAGACAGTGTCTTGCTATGTTGCCCACGCTGCTCTCAAATTCCTGGCCACAAGCAGTCTTCTCATCTCAGCCTGAGTAGTTCTTCCCACTTTTCAATATTTTTTTTTCTCTTCACCCCAGAATCAGACTCTTCCTGTACTGTTTGGAAATATTCAGCTTCATCTGTACCTGCAAAAATGACTTGTGGTGGTTCAAGGAAAAGACCCCCATGCTAACGTGTCTTCTTCGGGAGGTATCTGGGAAATAGCAACTCTCATATGTTGAAGATAAATAGTATTTTGTCATGTTTTTGAACTGTGTGTTGTGTTTGGAATCACTCCTATCAATATAGGTAATGAGGAGCTGCAAAAAAATTAAAATGGGAAAGGAAATCAAAAAGTCAGGAAATATTTCATTTTGGCAAAGACCTTCAGGCATATACCATGAATTTAAGTTAGAGGAATTTATAATAATAAATTAAAGAGGGTAGCTAGAGGGAAGCCATTGCTACAGCCCATTGTAAAATGATAGGGTGCCCCAAGACTCTGGTACTAAATAACACTGTGATTCCCTTATTTCACTTACGTAGTAGGTATAGCACAGTCAACACTTATTTGGTTGATAGCTTCAGGACTAGGGAAAATATCTCCCAAATAGAAGCAGCTGATGGCAGAAAGGAGAGAGAAGCCAGGAATCTCTTTTAGGAACTTGAGAGAGGCGGGTGCCTGAGCCAGTAGGCCTGGTCTTCACAAAATCACCTGGCAGCTGTGACCCTCATGAGGTGAAACAAGTTTGGGGGTGGTACTGGAGCTTGTCGTATTGAGAAACACAGAGAATCTTTTGGGGTATAAGTTTTTCAAGCCTAGCCCATCTCTTCCTCACTTCTAGATTGAGCTTATCATCTGCAGTGCTTTCCCACACCTGGAAAAGTGACTCAATCTGAAGATGGGAGAAAGTTGGCAGAGAAAGCCATGACTGTTCCCTACAAAATCTACACATCCTCATCAGTTTTGGAGAGCTTGCTTTCCTGCTCAGGTGACTGAATTAATTGAATTCTTAATTCCATCCTATTTAGATCAGGGAGGAATCCTATTAGCAGAAGCTTTTCCATGTAAATTCTGATGTAATGACCCAGGTTTTCTGTTTTTGTTATTGGTTTGTTTGGGGAATTTTGTTTTGGTTTTGTTTTTGGTTTGCTTGGCAGAGTCTCACTCTGTCACTTAGGCTGGAGTGCAGAGGTGCGATCGTGACTCACTGCAGCCTTGGTCTCCCAGGTCCAATTAAGTCTCCAGCCTCACCTCCTCAGTAGCTATGACCACAGGTGTGCATCACCATGCCTGGCTAATTTTTAAAATTATTTTCTGTAGAGACAGGGTCCCACTATGTTGCCCAGGCTTGTCCCGAACTCTTGCACTAAAGCAATACTTCCGTCTTGGCCTCCCAAAGTGCTGGGATTACAGGTGAGAGCCACCATGCTGAGCCTGTTTGGGGGTTTTTGGTTTTTGGATTCTTTTGTTTTGTTTAGTTTGATTTGGGGTGTGTGTGTGTGTGTGTGTGTGTGTGTGTGCGTGTGTGTGTGTGTGTGTGTGTGTGTTTGTGAGAATTATCTTCATACAGTGAATCAAGGAATTCAGAAAAATTTGGGGGATAGTTGCCTGTATTGGCTTGTGAAATTTCTTATTTGAGTTAAAGCCATATGTGGAAGTCTGAAGGTTCTTTTGGGCCCTTGTACCATATGTTTGGATTTTAAGAAAGTTTAGCTAATTTTTCTTAAATAAAAATATCAGGATAAATGAAAACAAAACTGTGAATTCTTAATGTTTTCTTTTATGTCAATCTTTCTTATTGTTAGCATAATGTAAAAAGTGCTAGAGGAATATCATATGCCTGCTACCTCATTTGGAAATTCTCATGTGTAAATTCCAAGTTAATATTTTTAAAATAAATAAATACAAATAAATTAAACTCTGAAAGGTAATTTATTTTATTAATTCTACTTTTAAATGTGTAAAGGTGTCCAAGTCACTGTTCATAATTGAATGGCCTAAAACACATTTAAAATTTACATTAAAGAGTTAATGTATTTAGAAAGACACAGAGTTTCTCATCCTCTAGAAGCTGATATTCTCAAATATAGAAGTAAAATTAAAATTTCAGCAGGATGAAAATGTATTCTGTTCCGTGGAATTATTGAAATATATTTTATTCCATGGAATAAAATACATTTGATGGAATGTTGATGGAATTATTCTATCAATTCCATGGAATAAAAAATGAAAGACATTTACTTTTATGAAGGTTTTCTCGAACCACACCCCCAAGATACTCTAATTCTAGATTGCTATTAGTGATTAGGTTGCAATTATTCCATAGTCAATTCTATTCAAATATTTCAAAATATTTTCAAAATTGTTTAATTTAAATACATTCTTTTGACTATACCATTTAAAAATCAATACTGATTAAAAGCCCTATGTATAGTTATTTGACAAGCAACACAACATCCAAATAACTGTAGTAGCTCTCACTTTGACTACCTAGGCATCAATCACTCAGGACACCAGACTTTATTTTTTTAATTAGTTTGCCATAGATGTCTGAAAATGTCTTCTTATTTTACATGGTCTGCACAGCCCCTAGCAAAGTTCCTTAGAAATTTTTAAAGATTAATAAGTGAATAGATTTTTACTCTTCCCATCTTTGGAAGAATCACAGGATCTGCTAGACAGGAATGACGACCTTTCTCTCTGTCTCTGTCTCTGTCTCCTCTGTCTCTCTCTCTCTCTCTTTAATGAAGCAGCTGCCCACTAAATTTGATCCCATATGGTCCTGTTTGAGAAAAGAAGGGGAAAATATTAAAATCAGTTCTTACTTATGAGAGGAAAATTATATGTAAACAATTGAAAGGTATTTTCCTACTTATGGCTGGCATCTCTACCAAGGCCTTACTTGCCTGCTGGGCCTAAAGGGTTATGTGCTTTTTTTAAGCTACATGTACTCCTGGCCAAGGACTCTCTGGGACACGCTGTGAGTAGTTTCAGATCACCAGTAGCTCTTGCTATTTTAGTCTGTGTCAATACTTGAAGTTGTAATTAATTTGGATGATCCTAAAAATCATAATTATGACAGTTCTATTACTTGATAAGAATAACTTACCTTCAGTTTTGCCAAGAAAGTCATGGAGCATTTAGCAGAAGGGCAAAAAAGTCTATGTAGTGACAATGACTATCTCACATAGAAGCAGACTGCAGAAGCCTTGATAGGGCTTAAATTGTCCTTGTAAGTAATTTGTGGACTACTATGTGCTTACTAGATTAACTGTGTTCTGCACTTTAACTGTATTTTCTATCAGTAATAATGTATGCCACATTTATTTTTTCTTCTTAACTAAGAGTTCATTCATGGACGATATTTGTAGACAAAGCCATTTTTTGCTCTTGCTTATATGTACAAATGATATGTGCAGCCACAAAATACAGTATTTCACTTTTGTTCTTGACTAAGCCACAGTAGAATCTAAGCCAAACTAGAATCATGTTAGATTTCTCTCTCTCTTGCTCCTGATTTTTTTCCTCTTTCAATTGTTTTATTTGTAATGATTACATTTCCTAAAGGATTTTCTGATACTTTAAATTATAAAAAGAAAAATAATGTATATGCAAAATGGGAGAGGTTTGAGGAAATAATAGTAAACATCTAAGATGTTGAAGTTGGGCTTCTTTTTTGTATTTACTGGATGAAATTATGAACATTGAAAAGGAAAAAAGGTATTTTGCACGTGTAAACAATGATCTCTGAAACATTGATAAATTTTTATAAGATCTTTATAAAAATTAATCAAGAATTATACATTTGGTATGTGTCCCTATTAAGATGGTGGCAGCTTTTGTAATAAATTGGTAGAAAAATGTTTATTTAGATTCATTTGAGTTATAAGTGCATAGTGAAAGGAAAGGAAATGTAATTTAGAGCCAGAAGTTCTAGATTTAAACATTAAGTGTAGTCTGTATCAGCAGTTTGACTCTTGATAAATTGCTTTCTTTGAGCTTCAGGTTCTTAATCTATTAAATGCAGGTAAGAATAATAACAATAATTGACTCTAGAGTTGTAATGGGACCAAGTAAACACAGGAATATTAACGTGTATGTTTACATTTGTAAAAATACTTAATAGATGATTAGTATTCTGCACTATAAAAATGGCTTCTTAATGGAGTTAAAGGAAAAATAAATGATCACATAAGTACAGAGGGAAAATATAATTTGTTTTTGCTTCTTTTCTGGTTTTTCATTATTAAATTTCTTCATACTTAGTTTTAAAGTGTTGATAAGCAGGAATGCTACTTTATTGTGCCTTTAATAAGTAGGTAGTGGTTGTGAAGAGATAATGATGGTAGGATTGAAAGGACTGTGTTCTGTTTTCACCTATGGCTAACTCAGTGTGGCCAGATTGAAGCCCCTTTACTGCTCCAGAATTCTGATTGTTTCAACTATGAAATAGGAGCAGTCAGCTTAGAAAAGCTGATCACCCACATACAGGGCCCCTGACTCTCCTGAACCACAGAGAGGCAAGCTCTCCTCTGCCTAGGACCTGCCAGACTCTTGGAGGTCAGGCTTTCAATTGTTGGACACCAGAGCTGATCCTGGGTGTCCAGTGGCCCTGAATCACTTCCTCAGGGCTGTGGGACTTGGGAGAAAAGGAAAGTTACTTGCTGGCAGCATTCTGGCATGAAATATTTGCTCTACTACAGATGTTTCAGGCCCCGTGGATGACAGTACCCATTCTTCATATTTCACAGGATGCCTTTTGTTACTCCTTGTATATCCCCTTGATAAAACCTTTTAAATTAAAATTTGGCATGTTTTGGTGGTAACAATGCTATTCTAAAATGTACTTTTGAATTAGTTTCTCCAGAATACTTTTCCAGAGTACTCTCCAGACTCTAAGTAGCCCTAGGTACAGGGGGCAGGTAGGGGAAGTGACAAAAATTTAAAAAAATGTTCTGGATTTAAGTTTTTAATTGGCATTTTGGTTCTTACTTTCTAATACCTGTTATTTTTTAACAAATACTTAATTTAGATTTGTAAAGTGAGTAGAGTATGGTTTGCACCTAATGATATTAGTTATGATCTATTTTGGTTTTGTGATATGTCCCATAAATGAGTGTCTTGAATATTCTTAAGAGAAAATTTAAAAAGGCATCCCATCATTAAAAATGTATCACTGAATTTTTTTCAACAATTTCCTTTTTTAAAGAGTACAGTTCATACTGCTCAGTTCGATTTTACTTTCTCTAAATGTTCCATTTTTCTTTCCTTCCAATCCTATTGCTTTGTGTGTTTTCTTTCAAGCGTACCTACAATAAAGCCATCTGTTGTCCAAGGGGTCATTTCTACATGAATCATGCTCTGTCAAAATCTTGAGGTTATAAACGTTCAGCTAATTGAGCAGTCTGACTAGCTGAATACTTGTAAGTGCTTTATAATATCTTTCAACACTTCAAAACCCTGACCCACTTAAACTCCAGAGTCCCACAGCAAATGGGACAAGTTATTCACATGAATTCTCACTGTGATAAAACTAAAAAAATTTCATGAAATTTTCTCAGAATTTGAAATAAAGTGAATGTAATTCTACTTGTAAATATTTATTTTTGAGCTGTGTCTATATTATGCCAAAGCAAGTGGTTGAGAAGTAAAAAAAACTTGGCCAGCCTGCCAATTGTTTTGACTACCCTGCATTAAAGAGCTAAATTAACTTTTTTTCTCCCTTGCCAACTTGATTGGGTGTTTTGGCATCATGGATACTTCTAGTTTCTAAGAAAGAAGTCTCTCTTTCTTTCTCTCTCTCTTTCCCCTTCCAATTACTTTCCTTTTCTTAAGAGTCTTCATAGAGATGAGACACTGGAAATGAATGCACAAATACATAAACACTTATACAACTTACATGAAAGCTCAAGCCACCCATCCCATGCCATTCTTAAGATTTCTGTGCATTCCTGGGGGACTTATATTCCTGTGGTCTCTTCTGGCTTCAAGTTTCGGATTTCACAGGATTCCAAGTCTCATTCCTGTATCAGATTCATTCTCTCTGCCCTGCATGAAATCAAGCATAGAACTCAGCCCTTTTCCTTCATTCCCTTAAAAAAGCAACTCTGCTCACAAAAAGAATTTTTCTTATAGCGACTTTACTGAAAGTTTGGTGAAACTAAAAGCAGTTTACAGAACAATAACACAATTTTCAATATTGGAGATTTCTGGACTTAAAGGTATGTTGGTGCCCACCTCACATGGACTAGACTCCCTCTTATCCTTTACAAGAGAATCTCACTTTCTCTAATGGAATCCAAACTCAGCTCTGAGTTGCCAAGGCACGTGTAAAAACTCACTAAGTGCATTTCTAAATATCTACTTCAGGACTTTCCCATTATCTGTCCTTTGCCAATCTCTTCAAGGGGTATAAGAAAATGTTACTACACTCTTGAGAAATATTTGTGCCCCAAAACACACACACACACACCACTGTCTCCATACTCACACCCCATAGAAAGCAGAAGTATGTATAGTCAATTTGGGTTTTAAGCAAAAATGTCCCTTGAAATACACTTATATTAAATATTTAAAAGCTTATAGTTATTTAGTGGACACTTTTGATTTATCATCTAAGCTGGCCCTGGCGTATACTTCTGACTTCATCCCATCTCATTCCACACTAGCCTTTCTGTTCCTCATTCCCACCGTGTAAACGCTGAACCTTCCTGTCTCTGTGTCTTGGCATGACCGATGGATTCTCAGAATGTGTTTCTTAGCCTGAATTTCTCCTTGTTAGAGGTGACTGTCCTATCTATAGCAACATCTTCTCATCCCTCAGCTACTTCACCCAATATTACGTATAAGAGTCAGTTTTATTTTTTTAAGGGAATGATCACACTCTGAGATTATCTTTAATTTGTATTGAAATCTTCCCAATTCTCTGTTCCTGAGGACAGAGAATCCTTTTCTACATACTTCTGAATATCTCTAGAATCCAGAAATGTGGATGATACTCTCTAAGCTATTATAAATTTTAAAATAAAAAAGTTTCTATTGTTAAGAAACAAAAGAGCAAAAATTTGTTTGATAATTTTAAACCAAAACACATTAAATCTGATATATTTTAAAGTACATGTCATATTATCTGTCCCATAATTGTTAATATTGATTGAATAATTATTATTATAACCAGGATTTCCTGATGTTAACTTGATGGCAAAGACCACCGTTTACTATGTTCATATTTAGAATGTAAATGTTCAGAATAAATAATATTAGCCCAGGAATTAAAACAGCCTAGCTAGAGGTTAGCATCATGGAATCCTAACCCAATCTTCTAATTCAAAGTTTGTGGCAACTGTGACACAGAAAAACAAACTTGTACAATATTAATGGCAAATTCAAGTCTAGAGTCAGGTTTCTTAAATCTCAAATGACTAAATTCCGACCTAAATTATGTCTTTAGTCCAAATTAAGAGTCATCAGTTACTTCATCTTTTCATTTATAGAATAAGCAGGTGAAATTGTGTGATATCACATCACTTGCAGTTCAATCATGCTATTTCTCCCTTCTTTGTTCATCAGTTATTCCACAACTTTACTGGAAGTAATTTCCTTAAAGAAATTCTCATTCGTATTGTCAAGCTCCTACTCGATGATACCTGGAGTTTTCAATGACTTTTAATGTTTGTTATTCTGGGGGCACTGGTGGCGTCTGACTGGTAGCTAATGATACGTAGCACAACAGAACTCATAACTACTCAGTCCTTAGCAGATAAAGAGGGATGGTTGATCATTGGCATGTACCTCTTTGGAGTACTTCCTGGGTATTGTGGAATAAGTCATATCCAATCAAACATAATGTAATAAGATCAATTATAATCAAACCAAAGTTAAAGTTATATTTAGTATAGAATAAAGTTAAAATCAAAGCACTGTAGGATGACATTATAAGGACTTTTTGGCAATCAATGTATTTGATTTAGAATCAAATTGCCTTGTTCATCATGGGGAAAAATTTTCTCCCATGTGTTTCCCCTGTTCTTAATTCGATTTGCATTTTGCCTTCAAACGGAGCTGATTATCTATAAACAGGTATAAGAATATCACAGACGAGAAAGACATTATATTCACTGGTTGAAAAGCCCTTGAATGAATCAGATTTAGTCTGATAGTGTAGAATCTCACAAAAAGTTACAAAAGTAGTTCAGTTTTCTATAGAATGGGGAAAACATTTTTTTGAGAAAGAAATTGCATTTAAGTAAATCTTTTAAACTACTATGTTAATTCAGAAAGTTTAACTTTTCTAGGGTTTAGAATTTCTAAATACACTAAGGAATTTTTAAAAATTACATGCGCAATGTTCATGCCTAAAGAGGACTTTTTCCTAACACTTGTTATACCAGTGTGAGGAAATAAAGGTAATAACTTATCCTATACACAGAGATAATTCCCTAACTTGTGATTAGAATGGCTTTTTGCAGATCTTCGAACATTTGACTAAAATCAGCCTTGGCCTGACTGTTGGAAAGCCATAAAGGGTATAGACAAGAATAAATAGAATGGGATGAAATAATGGGACAAAAAATATGAAGTGTGTTTCAGAGGAAAATAGAACAATTGAAATTTACTGTGTTTATATTATGCAGTAATCAGTATTATCAAGGATCTATGGGCTCTCTGGAAATATTCATGGGGATCCATGAACTCTCAGAATTTCAATGTAAAATTTTAGTTGTATTTTTGGGGAGTCAAGAGATAGTCTATAGTTTTCATCGTATTTGTGATGTGATCCAAAAAAGGCTAAGGACACACCACTGGCTTAATAACAGAGTATTAAAGAATGCACATCATAATGATAGAAGATAGTTAATTAAATCAGAATCTCCCCTCTTCTCACCTTAAATTGTATTTGAAATTTTTCATTACTATTTTCATATCAAGCTTAGGGATATCTGAAGTATATGAGGATAATTTAATGAGTGAAGACTCAGGGAAGAGCTTTAAGTAAAAAGTGAGAAAATAAGATGTAGTAGAAAAGGTAACAAAAAAATGATTCAGCTAAATGGCAAAGTAATAATGGTTTTACACACAAAAACTGTAATATACAGATAGGAAGCAACTGTTATTTATTCCTCTTACATTTTTTTTTCATTAGTAACAACAGCTAATTTTTATTGAGAGCTTATTATCTGCTTTAGAAGTGCTCAGCACATTTCTTTTACAATTGAGTCTTTACAACAAACCAATGGGAAAAAAGAATTTTTATCTCCATTTTTCAGAAAAAGAAGCTATTAAATTATCTTGTTAGATCAGGAAGGATATTCAAGAAGAGATGGCACTTACTTGAATTATCAAAGATCAGTGTGTACATTTGGGGAATTATATGGAATTCAGGATGGAAAGAAAGAGGAACTGACAGAAAAGCAGGATAAGAAGCATAACAGCAAAGTGAGAATTAAGGCAGATATAAAGAAACTTCCCGAGAGAGTGTTAACCATAAGAAGAGATTGATGAGAAAGGCTTTGAAGTGTTGTCTTCTTGAAGTTTGCACTAGAAGAGAGTTATGTTGACCCTACATGATGGTTGAAGAATAAACTTTTTTTTCCCAAGCCTCTTCCAACTTTGACATTCCAAAAGGTAACTCTTAAGTAACCCTGAGCAAAATAAATATTCATAATTTATGAATAGGTCAATGGTAGACTTTCTTAAGAAGTCTCTTGTCTGTTGTTTTATAAGAAGCCCTATCAATTTGAGGGCAAGGAGACACAGAGAGAAAATGTTTTGACTGGGAACACTCTAAGGGAAAGATATGGTGACATTGCTGTCCCTCAAAACGGCAATAACCACTTTGAAAATATGAAATGAGCCTATGGGTAGACTCAAAAATATATTAAAAATATAAAGCAGGGACTCAAACAAATACACCTATGTTCCTAGTAACATCACAATAGCCAAAGGTGGAAGCAGCTCCCCTGTCCATTGATGCCTGAATGGATAAACAAAATGCGGTGTATATAGACAATAGAATACAGCCCAGCCTCGAAAAGGAAGGAAATTCTGTCACATGCTACAATGTGGCTGAATCTTGAAGACATTACACTAAGTATAAGAAGCCTGTCCAAAAGGACAAATTCTGTATGATTCTACTCCTACGAGGTACATAGAGTGGTCGAATTCATAGATACAGAAGGTAAAGTGGTGGTTGCTAGGGATTGGGGGGAGTGAATAATGGGGAGTTATTAATTGGTACAGAGTTTCAGTCTGGGCTGACAAAGTCCCTGAGATGGATGGTAAAGATGGTTGCAGAACCATGCGAATATAGTTAATGCCACTAAACTGTACACTTAACTGATTAAAAGGATAAATTTTATATTATGTATATTTTTATCACTATATATGGTGATAAAAGTATACATTTATAAATATAATAAATATAATATATGTATTATAAATATAAAAATATATTTGTATATTATACATATGAATATATTTCTAGCTAAATATATACATATATACAATAATTATATATTTTATATAGATAATAAATATCAGATTAATATCACTAAAATATGTTTATTACATATACAAAATATATAACATATGTGGTAAAAAGAATAGAACTTAAGTAAATTTGTTTGATATTTTTACTCTTCAGCTAGGGTAGATTTCTGGTCCTAGGCTTTAAATACAGATATGCAACTGAATTTCAGCCTGAAGAAGACTGGGTTAAAAATTATACATTTATAAAACATAGTAATTAATAAATTTACCTATGTTGGATCAATATAAAAGTTTTGCCTTAAATTCCTATGTGTTATATAGCTTCATTTAAATATACTTAAAATATTATATGATTAATATCATATATCTCTTGATTATTTATTGAGTATAGTCAACTTAGAATTTTATTATCCAGATTGAAAATGTTGTTTGACATGGTTGATGACTAGTGGCTTATGTGGTAGGAAAATATTTTACCAGGAACTCTTGACTAGTGGGCAGGCCAATAAGATGCATTATCAACACTTTAAAATGGTGGTATATTCACAGAGTGCACAGTCTAATAGATGGCTAACAATTTGACAAATATCATTTTTTAAAAATTAAATGCACTGGAATGTCTCTATAATGTTTTCCAGAAATCTAGGATTTTTTTTTTCAGTGATATATGATCCTCTTTGGGCCCTTAGCCAGACCTTTAAAAAATGAACATTAGCTGCAGGAAAATGTTAAA